GTCCATTCCTCCGCGGCCAAATCGTACGAGTTTCTCCTTATTTAATTATAACCAATTTTTTATACCTGATACTTACTTGTACATATCATGATATTCAGACGTTAATGAAACTGGAAAGACATTTCCAAAAATTGGGGCACCGGTCGTTTGGGGTCCTGATGAAGTACAGCATACCAGAAGCAATACTACTACCGTATGCAACTAAACGTTCTCGGATGAAGTCTTTTTCACAAGGAACATGAAGACAATTTCACTGCAAACGTTCTCCTCTTGTGTATGAAAACTTAGCGGGTTATGGACATGACGAAACACTAAGTATTGGAGAAGTACATTGTCTTGCCGGGATAATTTTGACCTAGAGGCAATTTGTTTTCAAGCGGCTAAAAATTTATAGATGACCGCGGCTTTTCTGCTTCACCTCTAATTTTCGAAGCTTAGATAATTAATCGCCTACAACTTTCTGAAGTTTGATTTTTCACGTCCCCCTTTCCAGCTTAAGCTATATTTTGAAGTAAAAGGAAACCTAAAACTTTCGAATTCGAAAATTTGACGGAGATCGGAATCGGAAAACGTTTCTAATTTACATCTAAAATTTTCGGGAAGTGATTCTAAACCCTTGTAATCTCGTAAAGACTCAATTGCAAGTTCTCCTATGATTACCGAACAGATACAAACTTTATGGCGCCGCTTAGAATGCACTTTCGGTGGTCTTGTCGTGAGGCCCGTGCTAGCCCTTCAGTGGTTCCGGTTCCCCGTTTCCTATGACAACGAAACTTGGCATGTACAAGAAATGGAACCCTGGGACCGAAAATACGGGAAAGTAATGTGGAAAAAGTCATTTTTGGACTATTTTTTGGCGTTTTTTATTATTCAACCAATCAGCGGGCTCCATTCAGTAATTGGGTTAATAATTTAGAAATTGACACCATACTACAATCTATCCATTATCCGTGCCCATTTCTTTCGTGGAACATGACTCAAATGTATTTAGCAGGACACCGTCGTTGGGTGCTCCTGACTATAATTACTGACAAGAAGACCAGACAAGCAGTGATGCTTTAAGAGTCCCCTATTTTCTAGTGAGATCGTTGAGATCCAGCCATCTTCGATGAGTGTCACTCTGTACATATGAAACCAAGACTTCCCGCCTTCCTGTACAGGTAAGCACTCGCTCCTGACCATCTTACAAGAAAAAATAGGGGACTATGAACAGTCTACTAGATTCCAGCCATGTTAGACCTGTTTCTACCCAGCTGCAAATAAGTGGGTAGTTCCTTTCCTAGTGCAATTCAATATAGAAACTGTATTAAAAATATGGTTGTGCATGATGAACGTTGGTATATATAATAATGATGATGATAACCAACAATTCAGCTTTACACAAGGCGATGGTTGAGGAGCTCACCCGACAAAAAGAGGCCGAGGAAAGACACGAACGGCGAAAATGTGTACGAATGGAATCCTAATCGCAATCGGTAAAGGAAAAAATTCCGATTACCCCAGCATAATTTCCTTCAATGACAGTTTTAGGTTTATATCTGTTTAGAAACAAAAAAAGGTATCGCTAGCCTTGCGGACTTCTCGCTATTTACGAAAATCTGCGTCAGTTGATAATGTCGATGTTTGCCGTTTTAATGTCGCGGCTTAATCTGATGCACTGCATTTCAAGGTTGTAATTCCTTCACCTTAATTCGGAGATAACTACGAATGCCGATTTTTTCTTATTTATCACAAATTGTTTGTATATAACTCGTTAAGAAACTAACTGGACAGACAAACTGACTGACCGATTGACTGACTGTCCAAGTGTAATAAACAGCTATTGGCCCTTTGGGATACCATGAGATAACGTACTACCCCCGGGGGGTACTTCGTACTGGGAATTCTTGGTGGGGGTGTGCCGCTTGGTTCTCCAAATCCCGACCCTATTTCCGGACAAAAATATGTCATATTCCACAGTCACCCGTTTTCAGTGCAGGCTTCTAAACTCCATACCCGTTTTCAGACCTGGCCTCTAGGCAGAAATTATGTCATCATTACTTAGATTAGAGCGCAAACATAAAATTCTTTAAATGCATTTCGAATTCGTATATTTCTGTTAAATTGAAACGGTAACTACGTTCATACGCTCCCGTAGTTCCATCGAAAACCATACCCGTTTTCAGACCAAAAAGGCCCAAACGCCATACTATAATTTTCGCAGTAACTTGTTCTCAATCTGTTCTACTTTGGTCATCAATTAATTATATTCGTACCATTTTGAGCAGTTCGTGTCTTTTTTCAGCCTCCTTTTGTCGGGTGAGCTCCTCAACCATCACCCTGTGTAAAGTAATTGTTGGTTATCATCATCATTATTATACCAACGTTACCAGTAACGTTCCCTTTATCAGCAACTCGCATGATTTTAAAATCTGATTTTAATATAAAGTTTCTATATCGATTTCCCAGGAAGTAACTTCCCACTTATTTGCAACTGGTTCGAACATGGCTGGAATCTAGTACTGTAGATCCGGACTGTTCACAGTTCCCTTTTTTCATATTAGATCGTCAGGATCGACAGCTACCGATATGGGCAGCCATCTTGGTTTCATGCGTACCGAGTGTCACCGATGGCCGCCTTTAACGCAAAGCGTTGGATCTTGACGATCTTTTTTTTTTTGATTGCGGGAAAACAGGGGACTGCGAACAGTTTAGGAATCTCGAAACAACCAATGATTGATCAGTCAGTACCATTTGGAAAGAAAAATCCTCTTGAAGGTCCTGACTGGATTTTTTTCCTCAAAACATCATTTTCGTTTTTCATTTATCGTCTGAAGTAGTTGAGTATACCAACATGAGAAGAGCAAGACACACAGGAAAAGAACAAGAAAAAGCTCGGGTAAATCTCTACTTAACAGCGACGTGTAAAACTATAGCTGAACACTCGATTTGAAATTGGTTAAAGAGTCGCATTATCATATCGGTCCAGTCTTGTAAGAACCACAGCGTTTTTCAGGTCCTTGGTCAGTGTGTATGGCCAAAATATTTTAAGCATTTTTTTTGTCCTCCTCGTTAACGCTAACCCAGGCTAAATTTTATAAGCATTTTTACCAAATAAATTTCTTTGTTCTTTAGATCATCCAATCATCAAGTCGTGGAGAAAAATAATATAACCGAATTTGGTTTTAAAGCTTTCATATCTGAATTTAAATTTAGCACTTACCTGGGGTTATCTTAACCCAGCTTTGAACAACCCGGCCCAGGGGCCCGTTTCTCGAAAGTACAGGTAACTTTTCGGGGCTGGGGCCCGTTTCTCGAAAGTCCTGTTAACTTAACGGGTCCGAAATCAAATATTCAAATCGAAATATAAAGAATAAGAGCGCGGGTCCTGGCTAGCAAACTACTGCATCTGTTTCATTAACTGACAGTTTTGTCGTGTTAGATGCAAAACTATTGAAACCTCGATCTTTAATGTATACGGAGACAACTTACCGGGCCCGTTAATTATCGGGACTTTCGAGAAACGGGCCCCTGGAAAGCTGTTTTATGTTTGTTGTGTATGCATTCGAGATCAAAGTTTAAATAATTTTGAAAATAACACAATGAAGCTATCACTTAACGAAGCAAAATTGACTGGTTTGTGGGCTAGCCACTGTGTTACCTATTCTGAACAGGTTTGGATTTTCCGGGCCTTTCAAGCAACGAGCCCTAGAAGTCTTTTAAAAATGCCACATGACTACGAAGCACTGGTGGTTCAGTGGTAGAATTCTCGCCTGCCACGCGGGAGGCCCGGGTTCGATTCCCGGCCAGTGCACTCGTTTTCTTTCCTTTTTACATTGTACTTGTCGATGTGATAACTTTCTAATCATTGATTACCAACCCTGTATTGCCACATACTAAGGGACCATGTAAAAAGCTTGGAAACAGAGATTGAAATGTCTTCTAAAGCAGAAAAAATATATAAACATTCAAAAACCGGGGCTAATTCCTGTAAAATTTTTCCTGAAAGTTAACTGGTTAACTTCAGCTGCTTTTATCTAGTGAAAATTCGCGCATTATATTTATTTGTTTTATCAGTTTTCGTCACAATGAATTTTATTGGTAAGCACAAGAGCTGTTACATTCAGTTGAGCCCCGATATAAAGTAAAACATAAATACGAGAAAAAAAAGTAGGGAAAATATTATACGCTGCTGGACTTTGTACAACGTGACGCCGCAAAGAAGTCCTAGATATAGTGTTTATGACCTTATCCAAACTTTTTAACTTGGAACTACACTGTAAATAAAGCTGTATTTGTTTTGATATATATAGATAAGTCTTATTCAATGAAGGTTGCTTTTGCAATTGGTCATATGGCAATTGGGCATTGGGAAACTCACTACATTGATTTGCTTGTTTGACTATAGACTGCAAAACAGTTTGTTTTTTCTCAAAATTGGATTAGAGGAGAGCGGCGTAAGAGCCTTACGCGCACGAAGCGTCTTGCCCAAGTCTCGCTCTCCGTTTTCAGCTTTTGTTTAATAAATGTTCGTGCGTAAAGTGTACTTGAATACGCAAAAATACGGACTGTTTTACAGTCTATTGTTTGACCAAAGATTAACCTCACCCAGTGTGCAATTGCTCGTCACGAACAATAGCCAATTAAATTAGTTAAAAACTGAAATTCATATCCTTTTAACTATAGTTAGTAGAGCTGAGACTGGTTATGAAAGGCGGTAAATATCAAAGATGAAAACAACAGTGCCGCAGTTTACGTTGGAAGCTCCCTGACCGTGCACAATCCTTTGCTTTTGGTTCGCAAATTGTGACTGAATAAATTAATGCAATGTTTCTCTTGCTCAGTAAGTTCAAAATAATAGGAATGCTATTGAACGCTGTGCACGGTCAAGTCTAAAAAGCTCACAGCGGTTGTTGCAGGGTTTCATAACCATTCCAATTTCTTAACTATGAGTTAAGATATGGCTGCAGTGGTGGTATGTAGCCCAGTAATTAACAAGAATTATGTTTGCTAAATTATTGTTAATTATCCTTGTCACTTCTGTATTGTTGTATGAATTCCTCATGAAACTTGCTAATTCTGTCGAACATGGGAACTACCTTTTCCTCAGATGGCAAGATGGTTAACCTGCGGCAAAGAAAAAGTATATACTCTCAAACATTATATTTCCTGATTTATAATAATTTCGCTTTTCCAAGTAATGTAAGGTTTATTGCACTTTTTTATGAAAACAAAGAGAATTAAATGTTTCATTACACTGGCGATTAGACAACACAAAGTAAAAAGTCCTCAGACCTTTACTATACCTAGGAGGGATATCCTCCATCTTACACTCAGCTGTAACATAAATTTTTTTGATAAAATTCCAGCCATATCTTACAAAAGATTTATAGCAGCGACTTCATCTACTTCCGAAGGGATTTTTAACGTTTTCATGCTAAAAAACAAAAAAATTATCAGCGGGTAAGTGCAAATAAGTGCAAATGAATCCATTTATCCATTGGTTGGCTCAGTTTATTGCCTGCGTGAGGGCGGAACTTTAACCAAAGGTACGGTTAAACAGGTAAAAAAAACGAGCAACTTGTTTTGCAAAATTGCTGCAAAACAATTTGAATAGCGATGTTTCTCGTTTAACCACCCGGAAAAAGAGACCCTGAAACCTTTTTTTTTTTGAAGATAGGTGCGAAGGTGGGTGGTAAAACGTGCAATATCGCTACTCAACTCGACTATTCTGAAGTTGCGCAGGACATGGCCAAATAGTTCTTTTTTCCCAGTTCAGAACACCTGATGTTTTCAAGGGAATTTGCCTTTTGTCTTTTCATTAGCTATGCACGCATATGCACGTGGATGCAAGTTCATAGGACGACATTTGAAACAAACAGTTCTCTGAAGTAAAATCACGTGGTCTGCAATGGGGAAAACAAAATCTACAAGCTCAAAGGGTCTTCTATTGTTCGCCAAAAACTTGTCTCCCAAAACAGACCCATAGTGAGCCAGTCTCTTGTTTAACTTCAATGTCGTCAAATCTTCCCCTTGCGCATTAAATGGCTCAAATTGCCTGTTATGATTAAAAAGGAGATTTGAGACCCATAATGCTTAAGGAAATATTTTACAGCAGTTTGAAAATTTCGAAATTTACAAGGATTTGTATGAAAGCGAACGGTTTTCGTGTTTACAGAAGTAGATCAAGTGATCAGCTAATGCAAAAGGCCTATTACTCCGTCGCACATCAACGCTGATCGACTTCCCCATCACCTAGCAAGAAAGGCAAGTATGATAAACCAATAAAGAAAAAGAGACGTTCGACAAGTTAGCTCTAACCTAAAATGATATGTTCCTTCCTTTTGTCCGAACAAATTTCCCGGTATAGAGTTTATGCCAGTCGCTTCTAACATCTGCCAGCAGTAGAATTCGTCAGGTGTGCAGTTGTTGAGCTAAAAAAAAAACGCATTTTCCAACCTCGTTTCCAAGGGTCCTGTTCTACCCAGTCATAAACGTCGCTGCGGGTAATAGAAGACACTAGGAATGAGGTTGAGCATTACCGTTGTTGTGTGGACTTCTGAATAAAGCCTAAGGGAATCTATATTTTTGGAGAGGAAGGGCTACAAAACGTCACTTAAAAAGTGAATTCACGCTACTTTAAGCCTAATCGCACTAATTTCATCTCGTTCATTTCGTCAAACATCGGCAGGTTTTTCTGGACTTGAATTCGAAAAGACTGTATCGAAGTTCAGGAAAAGAAAAATAAAGTCGTTGTGTTGTGTTTACGTCCTCTACAAAACGTGAAATTAGGCACTTTCACGTCGTAGTCCAGCAGTGAAGGCAAAGAAATATACAGAAAGCATGATGCAGGTGCAAAGTTGTTGTTTTGTCACACTAAACCATTGCTTTATTACCGTTCTCGTTGACGTCACCGTCCAGCACCGTTGCTTAAGCTCACTATTAGTTTCAAAGAACTACGCTAACAACTCACCTTGGCCTCTTCAATAGCTTTTTGTGGAAGAATAACTTTGGGAAATGCATACAATGAACCAGTTACAGCATTACACGAGACGTCTTTAAGAGAATTCAGCATCTTTGTGGTTATCCCCGCCTTTCTTTGATAAGAATCCATAATGGACATTTTCTCCTGCAGAAAAAATTAAAAAGAAATGCTTTTTTCTAATTTCGATGTCCATTAAAAAACTGACGGAATTGCACTGACTAACAATCCAGTTGGAAACATGTTTATCATTAATTTATTGTTTTTATCGCATATCCGCAATGTTTATTGGCCGAAATAACAACCTGTAGATTGTAATAGTCAAAATTTGGGGAATCAAGAAGCTTAATAATCAGTGAGAAGAAAAGTAGACAAAATCCGCTCCACAATCAAATTTTAAAGGTCAAAACTTGAAGGTCAAGCAAAAAAACTACCACATGACGCGCCTGCGCTGAGGGTCTTCAGCCCTCTTCACCATCGAAAGCCCAGACAGCGGTTTTTTGCACACATTGCCCTTGACGCCCGATCTCCTGCAGATTCTTTTATCTTACTCATTACAGCCCAGATACACTACAACAACATTCGCGAAACCAATTCGTAACGTTGAAAAATATTACAAATAAATTAAATACTCCAGTAGTGCCAGTGTTCAGGATCTAGGTCCCGACCCCTATGTAGCTGTAGTTCAGACACCACCGAGGTCAAACGTCTAAATCGTTATTTTTGTTTTTTATTGCTGGGATTTCATTTACTAGTTAGAGAAAAATGGGCAAAGATGTATAAATCAGTTAGTCAACATAGCTATCTTTCCATTTTTCTCAAAATTTTGAGCTTTTTTCGCTGAAAACGCTTCGCGCTAAAAGAGAATCATGTTTGAAAATGGCGCCGATAATAACGTCAGCATCGGTTTTCAATCACTTAGAACTTTTTTAGTAAACTTTTAAAAAGTTTAGTAAACTAACAGGATGTTGGTAATACCCTAAACTTTCGATAGTGAAAGTAGCAACCTTAAGTTTGAAGTATTTCGCTTAACTTTTGCAAATTTCACTCGTTTGACCGCTGTGAAAGTTCAGACACGCCTGACATTACACTTACCTTAATAAATGTCTCGTACGACTCGTCACCAGGCTGAGGGGGATTACAAATTGCACTGACTGCAGCCTACCAATGATAAGAAAAAGATTAGCTGGTACAATCGTTTATTGTTGATTTTCACATGACGTCACTAAAATTCAGACTCCAAAACTATCGATCCTACTGAGATTTTACTTTCATGATGTATTAGAGCAGCTGAAAACTATATTTCATACAAATTTCGCTTCAAAAGGGTGCTTGCATGGTGTTTTGATAGAGAACGCTGGAATTTCTAAGCTTTTGCGTGACGCGGCATTTACATGACGGCGGAGAGAGCTGTAACGTAGGTTAAAAAAGTGACTTATTCCGGGAAATTTTGCTATCTAAACAGTTTAAAATGTATGAGAAAAAGTATTACTGTAATGTTTATGAGTTCCTCGACGGATAAATTCATGCTTTTGTAGCAAAACTCGGTAAGAGATGTTTCTCATGGTTTTCGTCCGCCATGTTGGTGCCCATCCAGGTGGGCACCAGCATGGCGTCTCCACACAAACCTCTATAAATTTGGTAAAACATTTCTTCGGATATTTCGTATACGAAATTTTCCCCTGACCTGATTCCTGATCGAATTGGAATTTGGAAATTTTGTTTTTTGAGGAGAGGGAAAAACCGGAGTACCCAGAGAAAAACCTCTCGGAGCAAAGGAGAGAACCAACAACAAACTCAACCCACATATGGCGTCGACGCCGGGATTTGAACCCGGGCCACATTGGTGGGAGGCAAGCGCTCTCACCACTGCGCCATCCCTTGCTCCCCAACTAGTAACTTTGCGGAAATACCTGCCCTGCAGTTGACGGTGCCTTGTGTGGTGGAGAGAGATACCTCTTAAACTGAGCTAGAACCTCTTTGCTAAATCCTACAACCTCTATGTAACCACCCCTCAGACCACACCTAAAAAAAACGGTTGTAGTTTAAAAACAGGTTATCTGCAACAAAACACCTATCACCTAAGGGGTGCGGCAGAGCTATGGACAAATGTAATAGATCCTCTGAGTCCATTGTGTGTAGCTAAATTAATTTTGAATGAGTCTTGTTGTCTGTTTATTTGCTTTTTTCTTTTTTAATCAGGTCGCATTAAAATGTTATCTGAAAAATTATTACTATAATTTGGAATATTACTTTAATTTAGAATGTTTTTTTTTTATTTTCGCTTGTTTAAGCGCACGTCTCATTGAACGTTGTTGGGTTTTAGAAATGACAAAATCTACTTGTACATACTCGCCATAAAACCCTTTTGAGGCAGAATGAATGGACATCAATTGGAACTTGTTGTATTCGGGACCCAGGTCTCTCAGAACCTTCTTGCACGAGTGAAACTGGACTTCGTTAGTAAACACTGTCTCTTGGTATACCTCATCAGCAAATAACACCAGTTTTTCCCGGGCGCAAAACTTGATAACTTCCCTGATATTGTCATAACTTAAGACCTGACCTGCGAAAGAATGCATACCGTTGTGGGATAATTATTTTTATTGTAGCAAAAACATTTGACCGCGCCTTTAGTTTCACTCTGCAGTTTTACTAAAATTAAGGCCTGAGATTGCAGTTTCGTGACCAGAATAGATAGTCTGCCGCAAGAATAGTTTAGTCATAAATTTAAATCATGACCCTCATGGTATATATATTTTCTCGATTTTCTCTGTTCCTGCATGTTTCCTGTTTTTCCCAAAAAAGTTTTGTCTGAACAAACTTGACAAGGACAATGGCCAACAAAACTGAACAAATCACGTTCAGGAACCAGCGAATAATATATCAGTTATTGGAATCGCTCAGTGATCAAGGTATCCTGGCTGTAAGTTTTCTTTTTTGCTTTTGTTGTTGCTTGTTTAGACCCTGTTTAGTTGTATTTTTCTAACTTATGTTGTTCGAAAACTCTATTACACTAGCCTATGCTTTAGAAACGATAATCACGTAGTCCATCTAATAAGCCACACCCTCCCTCTTCTCCATTATCCTTCCCATCTATAGTAACTCGCCCCCCTCACACCTACTGTCACATTGATTGCACTGTTACGCTAATTTCAAAATCCCTAAATTAGTTGTAAACATGAATTATTTCTACTTCAACCGACTTTTATGTTTTCGGCTATTATAATTACGGCTTAAGATGTCAAAATAAAGCATATTCTTTATTCTTTACTCACAGGCTCACCGCTTAGGTTTACCATATTTGAATGATAAAAGAAGTCTGTAAAACCTTTGTTTATTTATCTCCCGCCTACAGTGATCAGTTTTTGAATATGTATCAGACAGTTTCAGTGATACCTCTTTTGAAATGAGATGGCTTGCCACGGGTTGCCCCTATAGTTTTAAATAAACCCCCTCTTTTTGACGGGTAATCCCTCTTCTTCTGCCACGTCCCCCACCAAAAATGACTGGAAAAATCCCTTGCCATATTTAAAGCTGCACATATTTAAAGGTGCAATGAAAGGTCCATAATATCTCTTACCTGTGGGGTTTCCCGGGTTAATGAGTACCAGGCCTCTCGGTCTACAGTGAGGCCTCGACTCATCCAACACTCTCTCCAGTTCACAGGTATCTAAAGCCCAGTTGTTATCTTCGTTTAAATAATTTACGTCCTCTACAAAACGTGAAATTAGGCACTTTCACGTCGTAGTCCAGCAGTGAAGGCAAAGAAATATACAGAAAGCATGATGCAGGTGCAAAGTTGTTGTTTTGTCACACTAAACCATTGCTTTATTACCGTTCTCGTTGACGTCACCGTCCAGCACCGTTGCTTAAGCTCACTATTAGTTTCAAAGAACTACGCTAACAACTCACCTTGGCCTCTTCAATAGCTTTTTGTGGAAGAATAACTTTGGGAAATGCATACAATGAACCAGTTACAGCATTACACGAGACGTCTTTAAGAGAATTCAGCATCTTTGTGGTTATCCCCGCCTTTCTTTGATAAGAATCCATAATGGACATTTTCTCCTGCAGAAAAAATTAAAAAGAAATGCTTTTTTCTAATTTCGATGTCCATTAAAAAACTGACGGAATTGCACTGACTAACAATCCAGTTGGAAACATGTTTATCATTAATTTATTGTTTTTATCGCATATCCGCAATGTTTATTGGCCGAAATAACAACCTGTAGATTGTAATAGTCAAAATTTGGGGAATCAAGAAGCTTAATAATCGGTGAGAACAAAAGTAGACAAAATCCGCTCCACAATCAAATTTTAAAGGTCAAAACTTGAAAGTCAAGCAAAAAACTACCACATGACGCGCCTGCGCTGAGGGTCTTCAGCCCTCTTCACCATCGAAAGCCCAGACAGCGGTTTTTTGCACACATTGCCCTTGACGCCCGATCTCCTGCAGATTCTTTTATCTTACTCATTACAGCCCAGATACACTACAACAACATTCGCGAAACCAATTCGTCACGTTGAAAAATATTACAAATAAATTAAATACTCCAGTAGTGCCAGTGTTCAGGATCTAGGTCCCGACCCCTATGTAGCTGTAGTTCAGACACCACCGAGGTCAAACGTCTAAATCGTTATTTTTGTTTTTTATTGCTGGGATTTCATTTACTAGTTAGAGAAAAATGGGCAAAGATGTATAAATCAGTTAGTCAACATAGCTATCTTTCCATTTTTCTCAAAATTTTGAGCTTTTTTCGCTGAAAACGCTTCGCGCTAAAAGAGAATCATGTTTGAAAATGGCGCCGATAATAACGTCAGCATCGGTTTTCAATCACTTAGAACTTTTTTAGTAAACTTTTAAAAAGTTTAGTAAACTAACAGGATGTTGGTAATACCCTAAACTTTCGATAGTGAAAGTAGCAACCTTAAGTTTGAAGTATTTCGCTTAACTTTTGCAAATTTCACTCGTTTGACCGCTGTGAAAGTTCAGACACGCCTGACATTACACTTACCTTAATAAATGTCTCGTACGACTCGTCACCAGGCTGAGGGGGATTACAAATTGCACTGACTGCAGCCTACCGATGATAAGAAAAAGATTAGCTGGTACAATCGTTTATTGTTGATTTTCACATGACGTCACTAAAATTCAGACTCCAAAACTATCGATCCTACTGAGATTTTACTTTCATGATGTATTAGAGCAGCTGAAAACTATATTTCATACAAATTTCGCTTCAAAAGGGTGCTTGCATGGTGTTTTGATAGAGAACGCTGGAATTTCTAAGCTTTTGCGTGACGCGGCATTTACATGACGGCGGAGAGAGCTATAACGTAGGTTAAAATAGTGACTTATTCCGGGGAATTTTGCTATCTAAACAGTTTAAAATGTATGAGAAAAAGTATTACTGTAATGTTTATGAGTTCCTCGACGGATAAATTCATGCTTTTGTAGCAAAACTCGGTAAGAGATGTTTCTCATGGTTTTCGTCCGCCATGTTGGTGCCCATCCAGGTGGGCACCAGCATGGCGTCTCCACACAAACCTCTATAAATCTGGTAAAACATTTCTTCGGATATTTCGTATACGAAATTTTCCCCTGACCTGATTCCTGATCGAATTGGAATTTGGAAATTTTGTTTTTTGAGGAGAGGGAAAAACCGGAGTACCCAGAGAAAAACCTCTCGGAGCAAAGGAGAGAACCAACAACAAACTCAAGCCACATATGGCGTCGACGCCGGGATTTGAACCCGGGCCACATTGGTGGGAGGCAAGCGCTCTCACCACTGCGCCATCCCTTGCTCCCCAACTAGTAACTTTGCGGAAATACCTGCCCTGCAGTTGACGGTGCCTTGTGTGGTGGAGAGAGATACCTCTTAAACTGAGCTAGAACCTCTTTGCTAAATCCTACAACCTCTATGTAACCACCCCTCAGACCACACCTAAAAAAAACAGTTGTAGTTTAAAAACAGGTTATCTGCAACAAAACACCTATCACCTAAGGGGTGCGGCAGAGCTATGGACAAATGTAATAGATCCTCTGAGTCCATTGTGTGTAGCTAAATTAATTTTGAATGAGTCTTGTTGTCTGTTTATTTGCTTTTTTCTTTTTTAATCAGGTCGCATTAAAATGTTATCTGAAAAATTATTACTATAATTTGGAATATTACTTTAATTTAGAATGATTTTTTTTTATTTTCGCTTGTTTAAGCGCACGTCTCATTGAACGTTGTTGGGTTTTAGAAATGACAAAATCTACTTGTACATACTCGCCATAAAACCCTTTTGAGGCAGAATGAATGGACATCAATTGGAACTTGTTGTATTCGGGACCCAGGTCTCTCAGAACCTTCTTGCACGAGTGAAACTGGACTTCGTTAGTAAACACTGTCTCTTGGTATACCTCATCAGCAAATAACACCAGTTTTTCCCGGGCGCAAAACTTGATAACTTCCCTGATATTGTCATAACTTAAGACCTGACCTGCGAAAGAATGCATACCGTTGTGGGATAATTATTTTTATTGTAGCAAAAACATTTGACCGCGCCTTTAGTTTCACTCTGCAGTTTTACTAAAATTAAGGCCTGAGATTGCAGTTTCGTGACCAGAATAGATAGTCTGCCGCAAGAATAGTTTAGTCATAAATTTAAATCATGACCCTCATGGTATATATATTTTCTCGATTTTCTCTGTTCCTGCATGTTTCCTGTTTTTCCCAAAAAAGTTTTGTCTGAACAAACTTGACAAGGACAATGGCCAACAAAACTGAACAAATCACGTTCAGGAACCAGCGAATAATATATCAGTTATTGGAATCGCTCAGTGATCAAGGTATCCTGGCTGTAAGTTTTCTTTTTTGCTTTTGTTGTTGCTTGTTTAGACCCTGTTTAGTTGTATTTTTCTAACTTATGTTGTTCGAAAACTCTATTACACTAGCCTATGCTTTAGAAACGATAATCACGTAGTCCATCTAATAAGCCACACCCTCCCTCTTCTCCATTATCCTTCCCATCTATAGTAACTCGCCCCCCTCACACCTACTGTCACATTGATTGCACTGTTACGCTAATTTCAAAATCCCTAAATTAGTTGTAAACATGAATTATTTCTACTTCAACCGACTTTTATGTTTTCGGCTATTATAATTACGGCTTAAGATGTCAAAATAAAGCATATTCTTTATTCTTTACTCACAGGCTCACCGCTTAGGTTTACCATATTTGAATGATAAAAGAAGTCTGTAAAACCTTTGTTTATTTATCTCCCGCCTACAGTGATCAGTTTTTGAATATGTATCAGACAGTTTCAGTGATACCTCTTTTGAAATGAGATGGCTTGCCACGGGTTGCCCCTATAGTTTTAAATAAACCCCCTCTTTTTGACGGGTAATCCCTCTTCTTCTGCCACGTCCCCCACCAAAAATGACTGGAAAAATCCCTTGCCATATTTAAAGCTGCACATATTTAAAGGTGCAATGAAAGGTCCATAATATCTCTTACCTGTGGGGTTTCCCGGGTTAATGAGTACCAGGCCTCTCGGTCTACAGTGAGGCCTCGACTCATCCAACACTCTCTCCAGTTCACAGGTATCTAAAGCCCAGTTGTTATCTTCGTTTAAATAGTAAGGAATCTTGTACATGTTGAACTGTTTGATCCTAGCAACATAGTGAGGGAAACCTGGAATGGGAATCATGAGTCCTGCCTTGTTCTTGTCGCTGCATAAACAACCAGTTGCTAACGCTGCCAAGGCAATCTGGAAGCAAGAAAATCACATGAGTTAATCATGATTTACGTTTACTTAAATCTAAACCTTATCATTAAAGCGGTATACTAAGGAATGTTAGAAATTGACCAAAACTAGTCGTCAATAAAAAATCACTCAGATTAGCCGGTGGCTTAAAGTGCGAAGGCGCGCATGTAATATTGTTTAAGTCACCATCAGTTTAAGCGTTACTAATGTAATTGTTTGAAAAATCAGCGGAGGACTTCGGTATCCATCAAAAAGTGCAGCAATTGGAAGAAAATTCAGAGAATTAGACTACAGACAATCCAGACGCTACAAGCGTCCCTTTTCGGTCAATCGAGCTAATCGAGGCTCGGCAGGACTGGAGAGCGAACAAACTGAGAATAGAACTGGGGAGAGGTTCCTTTTCTTTGCCTTCCCCACAGTTTCCTCTCGGCTTTTTATCCTCAGCTCGTCCTTTGTAGTTCCCTTCAAATGCATGTGATCTCTTTGAAAACTAGAGCCTAGTAATGAAAGTTAATTACAAACCCTTATTCCAGTTGTTCCTCCATTCGTCAAGAAGATGCTACCTGGGTCAGCGGCATAACCATCTCTTTTAGTGATAAACTGGGCGACATGTTCCCGAACAATTCTTAATCCAAGAGAGTCAGTATACGAACCTACATTGAAAACATTTCAGGAATAAATTTAACTTTGTATTAAATTGACCGATTTTTGGTTCACAAGTAGTTTTAAGCAAACCATTTAACACGCCATTTAATTCAGCACATTATACATTACCAGTGCCTTACATAGCAAGCGTTTCCGTGCGGTTTAGGAGCAAAGAACGAGGAACGAGAGTCAAAGACCATGCGGAAAATGGCGCAATTAAAAGAGTGGGGAGGGGGTGGGAAAGAAAGGAAGGAAATTTTCCTTCCCCTCCCCTTCCCCCATGAACGTCCCAAAAAATCGTGTTCAATTTATACTTTCCAAACCGATTTACCGGAAACGTTTTTTAAATGGTAAATACACAACCAGGACTACTTTTAAAGATGTTCCGTTGCTCCCACAAAGACGTGTTCCATTTCTGATTTTTAACCTGGTTGTCCGGAAAAAATTCTAAATGGTAAACAACCCACTTTTCAGGAAAATTCCATCTGGTATGGAAACTTTTGCATAAATGGGCAACACCCGATACACGTTTTACAAGATTTACGGAGACAAAATAATTCCAGTATCAGCCCTTCCATCACGGAGGGGGACATTAGGGTTCCTAATAACTCAATACCGTAAGAAAAATTGAAAAATTATCGAAATCCACTTGTAAAAGCAAAAGCTCAATACCGCAATACCGTAAATTACCATGTCCTCCTCATCATGTAAACATGTGTAGCATATTAATAGGGTGTTTAAGTAACAGCGACGCACGTCAACCGGAAGTTGACTTTTTGCACTCTTGAGCCGTGATATTGAACAATGTTTTGGGAAAATTATCTCTATAAGAATTAAGACACTTGGCAATACAAATATGGTGGCGTTAAGGCTTAGTAAAAAGAAAAAGGCTCACCTCCAGTTGACGTGCTTCGCTCAAGAACGTTGCTGCTTAAACTCCCTAAAAAGGGACTTTAAGATCTTACGACGCGGACGGCGACGAGAACGTCAAAAAACAATAGTTTTTATAAGAAAAACAACAACTTTGCACATGCATCAAGCTTTTTTGTACATTTCTTTGCCCGTTTTTGCACGACTACGACGTGAAAATGCCTAATTTTACGTTTTATGGAGTACGTAAACAAGCAACGACGAAATTTTATTTCTCTCTCTGAACTTGGAAATGGTCCCTCGGAATTCAACTCGAGGAGGATTCGCCTACATTTGACAAAGTAAGTGAATAGCAATAATTGCGATAAAGACTGAAAGATCGCAAATTCACTTTTTAAGTGACGTTTTCGTTGCCGCCGCGTCGTTGGATCTTAAAGTGCCTATTTTCTCGGTTGAACGCCCTAGGCATGGCTTGAATATTTTTTCAAAAACTGAGTCTGATGAACACATGGCAACAGACTTAATCAGAAAAATAAAGTACAAATGGCACCTATTGAGAAATGCTCGGTTGCCTCCAGAATCCTTCGAGCTTTTTCCTTTATATCCTTTGGGTAGCTTGGTTCTTCAAGGAAACTTGGACAAATGAGACATGACAGAAGCTTGAAGAAAAATGCAAAGATGTCCATGACAATCACTCAAGAACTGACTTTCAAAATCTAAACGCATGCACGTTATGGATCACCGGGTCAAATCGAAGCTTCAACTTCTCCATCGGGCATACCCCGGGCAAAGAAAGGCTTCGGGGAGATGTGATTCCTATACCGTATGCATAAGGGCCGGAGTGTAGCCTGGGACCACGCTCAATAGAGGGGGAAAAGGGAGAAAAATCTGCGAGCGAGGACTAAGGACTAGCTAGGGAGGGGGCCTCCCCTTTCCCCCACTTCCCCTCTGCCGTTTTTTCCCTCGCCGTCTCCTCGCTATTTTTAGACCCCTCCGACCAAACGAAAAACTGTCCACAGGACAAAGAGGTGGCATGGGGAAATTGGACCCTCCCTCCATTACTGTTGATATGTCTCGGTGCTTTAAAGAGGCGTCATAAATCATGGCGGAGGCGGACATGGCGAGTTTGGATGATTCTCAAGGAAACGATTGCAGCTTAGTGGCCTATCTGTTAAAAAGCAAAGGATTACACAAGCTTTACTATGTCTTCGGACTAGGCTTAGAAAGCTTCATTAATGTATGACTCCTTCTAAATTTCGCCGGGGTTGAGGTATTTGATCACCTAGTAAGCAAAATTATAACAAACAAACAAATCTATGCACAGAAAACAAAGATCTTTAGCTTTAAAAAATTATCTTACCTGCCTCAGAGAGGAAACTGGAGGCTGTCCAAACGCGTGTGGGTCTCCAAAATGTTTTATAACTTCATCAAAAGGTTTACTTACACCCTAAAAACAATAAAAATAATAAAAAAAACACAATAAGACTGAATTGACCACTCCAGAAAATACCATAACATACCATAATGCTCTTTGTTTGTCACCCCACTGAATTTTGCGTAACCGTTGTCTTCAATTTCGCTTGGGAGTTAAAATGGCCCCGAGAGAAACTGAAAACAATGCTCAAGCAAAATTTTGGGCAGACAAAGAAAGAGCATTATGGTATGTTATGGTATTTTCTGGAGTGGTCAATTAGCTCGCTTATCAGTTTGCGTAGCAGGTTCCTATCCAAACGGCGCATGTCATTAATAAAATCGCGGGACATTTTTTTGACAAACGTCCTGGTTGCTTCTAATAACTCCGCCCTATAATAAATACTCACTTTCAAACTTCTTTACGACACATGAGCTACCCTAGGGACGGAATAAGTGGCCGTTATGGGAAGGTAGGGTTGTAATATGTGTAAGAAAACTTTAACAGTTTTCAATCGACACGAAATTCGGGGATTTAATAGTACACTGATCAACTAATGTACTGAAACTTTTTTAAAAAAATCTATCCACGAATTTTGTTTTAATCGCTGTTTTCGTGAAAGTAACCTTAGAAATTACAAACAGAGTTCAGCATTACGTTTTACGCTGATTCATACGTTTTCATGTGTTTAAAGATCTATTTGTATAAGTATAAGAGATTCAAAGATGGAGGCCGGTGTGCCTATTAAAATACTGGCTTGAGCCACCTTAAGAGTACACAAAAGTGCAAATCGGGCTTTCATAGCTTTTCTGCAACTTTCTGTCCAACTGCAACTAAGCAGCGCAGTTTTGTGCAGTACCTTGCGATCCAGCCTTGGGCTTTCCACAAGTTGCTCGAGATTTTCCAAAGAGTTTCCCCATTATTCCTCAAAAGGTGCTCGAAACTTGCTTAAAAGACAATCAAAAGTTTTTGTCACGAAAGTTGCTCAAGAGTTGTTCGACAAAGCATTTTTGTGCAATTTTGAGGCGTAACATGCGTTGCTAAACAACTTTGGCTCCAATTAAAACCAAAAAAAAAATTGTTGAACGAACTTCTTCACCCGAGACATTCAAGTCCCGTCGAGTGTGAATCTTCGTCCACCATTTTGAATTTTCGCTAAAAACCGCTGGCCCAGCAGCCCAGCTACTTTTATCTTGCGCCCATGATCTGCTCCAGGGGGGAGGTTTTGGCCCCTTTTTTTTTTACAGGAAATTCATAAATTGTCTAGTAAAACATTGCGAAATATGGAAGAAAGGCCAATTTAAGCACTAAAAGCTGATCCGATATCTCAGAACTAGAAGATAACTAGAGAAATTGCTCAGAATGAAAAAGTTGCGTGGGCGGAAATTGAGGACAGTATGGCCCTTAAGCATCCGCATTGTGGATCCCAATGGCCTTTAGAAATGTCTGACTCTAATAGGGACTTGTATGGCGAGCGAAAAATTCTTAAAAATTAAATTGAACTGGAAAGGAATTTCATACCTGCGAGCATCGGTATGTTATTGTGCTAAGTTTTGAGGTCTTTACTCATTTTCTCTCGGTTATTTGGCAAATTACGCTAGCACCGTACAACAGTAATATTGATCTCGCCATACAAACACTGCATATGAGCTAAAATTACCAACATTTAAGCCATTGTACGCAATGAGAAAGGTGCCCGGGGGGGGGGGTACTCCCATATATGGGCTATATAGGTACGTGCCGCGGAATAGCGTATGGTTTTTGAGGTTCTCGGTCCTTAAATAGGGTATCTTTTTTGACCCTTTTGTTTCTGTGTCCCTGGTGTGGTCCTTAGATAGGGTAGCTTAATTGTATTATCTAATAC